GGAGGAGGAGGAGGAGGAGGAGGAGGAGAAGGAGGAGGAGGAGGAGAACAAAGGAAGACTGTCCAAGTAAAACAAAAATACAATAGAAACTGTTGTTACTTGACTTGATAGGATTGTTGCTTGACAGGATTCATTCTGCAACCATACACTGCCTTTTGGAGCTAAGTTGTGATCGTAAAAACACTACCATCGACCCAGTTTGATCAATTAGGAAGCAGGTTGCTTAGACTGCCTGTCAGGGCTAACAAAGGCTGAGAGGGACAGGGGGACACAGCATCCTAGCAGACAGACCGAGATAGACGGAGACACAAATGTTAATATATATATATATAAATATACTTTTTTCTAAACTACTCCAGCACGAGGGAACTCGAATCTTTAACGGATAAGGACTTTAAAACGATTACACCACATATCCTAAAGGGTTCAGCTGTGGTGTCTGATCAACAAAGTGTCCAAAGAAAAGCTCGTCGATGCTTCTTCTTCTTCTTCTTCTTCTTCTTCTTCTTCTTCTTCTTCTTCTTCTTCTTCTTCTTCTTCTTCTTCTTCTTCTTCTTCTTCCAACATGTGGAGTTGATCGTATTTGACATGACAGAAGTCCTGTCAAAAGCCAACCTACCCACAGTGAGGTACCAGGTTTGCTTTATTTATGAGACTGGACACTGGGTCAGCGGATATATTTAAACGGGAGCGAAAAAAAGACGTAATAGGTATGGAGATAAGTTGCCATCCTTACGCCAAAGGATTTGTGGGGTATGAGTGGAGACACCCCCCCCCCAACCCCACCCCACCCCTTCCCTGCCGCCCAGGCACCCCAGATGACAACAACGGGCGGCAAACAAGAAGCTTGTCAGATAGCACAGACATGTTGAGGGGAAGCTTACGACATGTATATATGTCTGCACGTTCGTGTTCCGTTCAGATTAAGATATGATCGTAATACACGATTTTAGTTTAGTTAAGGCACTTGCAACATGATTCGGCCATATAGGTGCTGAAGATTAGAGGTGTTACCTGAGAGTAACATAAAAAGGGAAGAGGATGTATGTTTTAGTTTTAGTAAGAGTATTACGGCACTTGCAACACAATATGGTCATATAAGAGCAGAAGATTAGATGTGTTACAAGTCACAAGACAGTAAAAAAAACACAAAAAGAATGAGGGGAGATTCAGACGATAGATTATTTTATAGAAAAGAAGTAGCAAACCACACCAGAGCAACCGCCAACCACCCACGGATGAGAAAATAAAATGGCAAAGTATGTTTGATAGGAAAGAAGGAGCAAACCACGCAGCCAAAGTACCGGCCTACCAGACACGTAATAACAGTAACTGTAAAGGCAACATTTTTGTTTGAGTAAAGAGCAGAACATGGACAACGATAGCCATGTAGTACGTGGACAAAGA